CCGTTTCTGCACCAGTACAAGGAGACCGGGCTCTGCGGCATGTACGTCGTGGGCCGCCCCGCACAGGCGGGCCCAGGCGACGCGGGCGCCATGATCGAGGTGTTCCAGTATACCATGGCGGAGTGGTGCCGCATCTGCCAGAAGATGCTGCACCAGCACGAGCTTGAGCAGGCAAAAGTGAACCTGAAATCGCAGCTGTTGTTCAACATGGACGGCAGCGCCAACTCCGCGGAGGATATTGGCAGACAGGTGCTGCAATATGGCCGCCGCATCCCGCTCGAGGAGATGTATGCCCGCATCGACGACGTGACGCCGACGAACGTGCAGGAGGTGCTGCAGCACTACTTCTACAGCCGTAAGCCGGTGTACAGCTACCTTGGTTACTGCGCCAACATCCCCGGCTACGACTGGACTCAGCACTGGTCGTACAAGTACTGGTACTAAGTGCAGCGGGAAGAGAGGGATTGCGTGTGCGAGTGTGTGAGTGGGAGATAGGTATTTAGAGCAAGTTGGTGCCTGCGTAGGTGTGAGTCATCCATGGATGATGATGATGATGATGATGATGATGATAATGGTGGTGGTGGCATGGGATGCGCGCGTGTTAGTGTCAGTGCGAGAGAGACTGTGTGCATGTATGTCTGTGTGTGTGTGTGTGTGTGTGTGTGTGCTGATGTCTCCCTCTCTTTGTCTCGCTGCCGTGTTGGGGGCGGGATTGGGAGTCAAATGGCACAGGAATGGACGAAGAAAAAAAAAAATATAAAACAACCACCAACAAAACAAACAAGAACAACCAAGCAAATAAACCCTCACAAACCAAAAAAAAAACCACAACAACAGACAAATCAAGCGAGGTAAATGGAGAAGATGGTGCCAGGGTCGTTTAGCAGGTAATACGAGAGGGAAGTAGCTTCCATATTGAGTCTCTCGGCGTGTCCGTCGTTGCATGTGTGTATGCTTGTCGCATGCATCTATGTATGTGTGTCTCTGTGTGTGTGTGTCTCTGCGTGTGTGTCTGTGCCTGTGTTTGTTTGCTTATGTGTGAATGTGTGTGCGGGACTGATACGTGCTTCACTGCCGCAGTGACGGAATGAACAGCAGTGCGTGAGAGGGGTGAGGAGTGCAAATGAGCGGTGGCGTTTGAAAACTCAACAAAACGTGGTGGCAGTGCCGGGGGAGGGGCGTGCACACCCCGTCGTGTTCGTTGATTGGCAAATGCACCCGGTGCATCTACCAGGGCGTACGAGGATCACGAGAGTACACACCGTACAAACACACACACGCCTACATACATATATATATATATATATACATATATATATATGTGTGTGTGTGTATATATGCATGCATGCAGATACATACCCACCTACACACGGTACACGCATGTAGTAGTAGTAGTAGTAGGAGCAGGATGGGGATGTCGATGTCGCGTATCATTGGATTTCGTGTGTGCCTCTCTTTGTGCGTTTCCCCTCTGCATGTGCGGCTATGCGCCGCCGTATCTCTTTATCTCTCGGCCTTATCGGTATTTCTTCCTATTGCCTTTTCTATACATCTATATATTTCTGTGTGTGTGTGTGTGTGTGTGTGTGTGTGTGAAGCCTTGCGAAGCCGTCACTATACAACACCACATCCCACTCATTCATATATATTTATATATATATANATCTCTTTATCTCTCGGCCTTATCGGTATTTCTTCCTATTGCCTTTTCTATACATCTATATATTTCTGTGTGTGTGTGTGTGTGTGTGAAGCCTTGCGAAGCCGTCACTATACAACACCACATCCCACTCATTCATATATATTTATATATATATACATACGCACATCAACAACTAGATAGCGTGGGTGATTGTACCGGTGCCTGTGTGTTTAGCATCCGTACGGGCGCAGGAGATCAAAGTAAAAGAAAACTGTGACGAGGGAGAAGGGGGCGGTAGCGGCAGAAATACGGGAAGAGTTGTTTATAGAGGGTTACATATACCAAAGGGCCATTCCCCCCCCAGGCTGCGTGTCGTGTGGTCCTTGGGTAGCGCCTGCGTCTTCACACACGTGTGCATATTCGTTCCACGCAAGTATTTACTCACCAGCACAGCCACACACGCACACAGAGAGAGAGAGCGAGCGAAGAAAAGAGAAGCGGACGGAGGGCGTAAGCCAGGACGCTGCTGCACATTGTTTCTATTCCGTGACCGCTTCGTTTAGGCGCTTGGGTGAGGCGAAAGTATATATATATATATATACACACACGTGCTTACACCTGCAGTGGTCTCCCTCTCACGCACATAGATGCAGCAGATTGCGGTGCTGTTGCGTGACAAGTTGAGACGCGAGTCGCGGGACGGCAGCGGCGATGGCAAGCGCAACAACAACACCAAGGACAAGACCAGAAATACCGAAAGCGAGACCGACAACGACTTGGGCAGTGTGGCAGATCCGTTGCGGTGCTTCTGCTGGCTGTGTGGTCTCACGGCAAAGTTCCGCCTCAGTGAGGACGTCGTGCTGTGCTTCATATGCTTCCGCCTCGCACTGGTGACGCTCGTGGTGCCGCGCATCGACACACCCGAGCGCCGCAAGGGCGACGCCGCCTTCATCGCTAGGATACAGCAGCTCGCTGAAAAGGAGGCAGCACCGCCGCCCTCTTCCCCCCCCGTAGCAGCAATCACCACCACCACCACCACCACCACAACGCCATCCGGGCCGTCAAAGAGGCGGCCGCGCAGCGGTCGGGATGTCGTGGACGTGACGGACCCGTCGCACGCAAATTTCATTATGGGTCCGTCGGTGCGGCACCAGCGGCCTCTCCCGCTGCGCGTTGACGGCAGCGGCAGCAGCAGCAGCGGCGGCAGCGAGGGCGTGACGGACAGCTACTGGACGTGCATGCGCTGCGGCTTCATGAACTGCAGTGCGACGCGTGTCTGCGACGCGTGCCAGTTCACCGACGTCGGTACTCTCGCGTGCCCCTTCTGCCACGCGCCGTGCCGCATGGGTGAGGAGCGGGTGTCGCAGTGCCCCGTGAAGAAGGCGCTGCACACCGTCTGGAGCTGCTCGAAGTGCAGCAGCATCAACGCCGTCGACGCAGACAACTGCTACGTGTGCGGCGAGCAGCTCATCTGGGCGTGCGCGTGCTGCACAGTGAGACAGCCTTCCCTCCGCACAACGGAGGGCCTGCGCATCTGCACCACGTGCGGCGCTTTCAACACGCCGATGGAGATCGCCCACTCGCTCCTCTCGATGGAGTGGGAGCAGCAGCAGCAGCAGCTGCTGGTGGGCAACGATCAGGTGGAGTTCGGCGTGAACGACGCGGAGACGCTCGCGGAGAAGCGGCGGCAGCAGGAAATCACGGAGGCGAAAAGCCGGCTTGCGCTGCGCATGACGCAGCTCGGCATCAAGAGCGTCAACGAGCAGGTCCCCGACGGCAACTGCCTCTTTCGCGCCCTCGCCAACCAGCTCTTCGGGCAGCCCGAGAGCCACAAGCTGGTGCGCAACCTCATCGTTAGCTACATGCGCGAGCGCGCCGACAGCTACCGCGTGCTCTTCGACGGCGAGGAGGCGTGGCACGCGTACCTGCGCAAGGTGCGGCAATGCGGCGTCTGGGGCGACGAGCTCTGCCTCAACGCCGCCGCGCGCTGTTTTCACGTGAACATCCACGTCATAACGAGCGATGTGACGCGTTGGCACCTCGTGTTCCAGCACGATGACCTCGGCGCCTCGGTGTCGCTGAGCAAATCCGATACGAAGCGGCGCTCGCCCAATGCGGCGGAGCAGCAGAGCCGCGAACCGAACGGCGGTGTCTGTCTCTTCCTCGTCTACATGGCGCCTGTGCACTACGACGATGTGATGCCGTCGCTGGGGCACAAGGTGGAGGACCTCAGCAATTTCATAAAGCGGAGGCTGGAGGCGATGCTGGAGGAGGAGGAGCGGGCGTGGCTCGATGCCAGCGACGAGATACAGCCTCCCCATCAGCTGCGGCCGCTGCAGGCGCAGGTGC